AGATTTGTTACCAGTAATATGATCAGTGACTTCTGAATCAAAAACCCAAGGACCAGAAGAAGATTGGGTCAGACCAGCAAAAGATGTACCTGTGTGTGCGACAGACACAGTGGAACTAGAAGATTGTTTATCCTTATACCATTTTAGAAATTTGTTGAATATAACAAGTGTGTCTGATGAAATAGAAGAAGGAGGATCCTTAGCAGATAAAGGTGGGGAAAGATCAGTCTGAGCAACTGCAGCAGATCGAGGAGGACGACCATGTAATGCATAACACTTGTCAATCTTGTGACCTAGCTTGCCACAATGTTCACACTCATGTAATGCATAACACTAGTCAATCTTGTGACCTAGCTTGCCACAATGTTCACACTTAGGATGCCCTTTTCCCTATTTGCAAGGGCAAGTTCGGTCATCACGGTGAGATACCAATGCAGAAGAATCATTAACAGAAGTTGGTGTGTCAGGGTTGGATTTTGCTGGTATACGTAAAAGAGTGGAGCAGGTCGATGTCAAGGTGGGGACAACCGGAGAACCCAAGATCTGATCACGAATATGTGAATATTGATCAGCAAGTCCTTGTAATGCCCCTAGCATGAAGAACTTTGATCGTTGTGTTATCTCAGTGGTAGGGTCGGGGGAAGGAGGCAATAACTCATGAAAAAGAGCATGAATTTTTCCCATATAATCAGTCATAGAATCTTGATGTTTAGAGGCAATAACATCTACAAATTTAGAACAAACATCATAGAGACGTTGAGTATCATTGGTGTATAATAACTTGGCATGTTCCCAGATTTTGGCACATGTTTTGTAGGAACGAAAAATTTGTTTTAACGAAGGATCAAGAGTACCCTTGAGAACCACACATAATTGAGCATCAATGGTGTCCCAACGGTCTTCCTCACCAGGAGTGAGAGTAGGTGCTTTCGGGGCAAGATGATCAAGATACTTCTTATTCTTAAGCCATAATCTGAAGTCTGATGACCATGTGGCATAATTAGGGCCAGTTAACTTGTCAATGGATAAGTGCACATTAACATAGTTAGTGTAGATGGAAGGATCAGACGCAGTACTGACAAAATTGGAAGTACTAAAAGGAGCGAAAGAAGTCATAAAGAGCAGAGGCGATAGTGACAACGGCGTGAACCAATACACCATGTAAGTTCCAGGAAAGAGAGGTGGGTCACTAATGGACATGCTTAAATACCAAGTCTTTCCTTGTCAGAACTTTCCTAGACATGCACTTTCACACTACCAAAAAATATCCAGTAACAAAAATAACATTTTTCTGATGTGGAAGATCAGTTTAACCGAAAGCGATAATGGCGGTGGTGGCGACTCCAACAGTGGCAAAGGCGAAAAAAAATTTCAAAATAACCTTAAGCTCTAGATACCATGTTAAATATAGAAGAAATAGAGTTTGAGATTAATCTCCCTTGTGTATAAATCACACATAGGATAGTCTATTTATAGTAGAGAGATACAACTAAAAGAGTAACCGAAAGTAACAGAATAAACAGAAGATATTGTTTGATATTGTGGTTAACAATATCTAACAATATCTTAACAATATCAAATAATATCTAAACAATATCTAACATATACTTTTTTTTAACTTTTTTTTCTTTTTAAACTTCTCACATTCTACATTTTTTTGAAAACTCTATCATTTTTACTACATTATCATCATCTCCTCCTATATTCTATTATATCTTTACAATAATTAGTCTTCTTTTATAGGATACTTTATTTTCTATTTTTATTATTTATTTTATTATAATTTAAATAATTAATATTATTTTAACATTTATTTTTATGATTTTTACTATAATAATTAAAATAAAATGGTTCGATAATATTAATTAATTAAAATTATCACATCAAAAGCTTAGATAACTACATTAAAATTATTAATTTTAAACATATAAAATATATTAAAAAAACACTAAAATTATAGATTGGAAAGAAAATAGAATAAACAAATACTTTTTACTTTATATTATATCTAAGTGTGTGCACAAATGTTGACCTTCTTAATTATAGAGAAACCATAGAAAATATAAAAATAGAATTTGAAGAAGTGAATTTTGAAGATAAAGACTATTTTTATATAAATTTATTTTAGTATATAAATTAACAATAATAATACATAAAATTTAAAAACTAAACTAAAAAAAATTAAGTTTAAATTTATAAAAAAATACATTACTAAAAGTATCATATTATATTAAGATTTTCATTATTTTCTTTAATTATAAATTTAAATGTGTTTCATAAATAAAATTATAAATTTAAATATATTTACACTTTTGATCCATCATAAATAAAAATAAATAGTCTCTTATAAATGTTGTTCTATTTTAATCCATCATTAAATTTGTTTTATATTATTTAAGACAAGTATTTAATTTTTTTTATTTTTATGTATTTTTAACTTCAATTTTATTTTTTATTTTTATTATTTATTTTCTTATAATTTAAAGTAATTAATATTATTTTAAAATTTACTTTGATGATTTTTACTATAACAAATAAAATAAAATCATTTAATAATATCAATTAATTAGAATCATCACATCAAATATTTAGATGACTAGATTAAAATTATTAATTTTAAAAAATATAAATATATTTAAAATAAAAATAATAAAATTATAGGTTGAGAAAAAAAAACTAGAATGAACAAATATTCTTCATTTATAATATATTTAAGTGTGTGTACCAATCTTGATCTTCATAACTATAAAAAAATAGTTAAGAAATGTGAAGATAAAAATTAGAGAAGTGAATTTTGTAGATAATTTTTTTTTATAAATTCAATAACTCATATCGAAAAGAAATGACATGAAAGAAGAAAAACGAATTTGATGACTTATCATATTATTAAAAATTTGGATGAAATAATTATGTATAATACTTTTTTTAGTATATTATGTTTTTAAATTTGCTAATAGAGAATCAAAATTTAAAATGTTAAATATTTTTAAATATTAAAATTGACTTTATAAAAAATTAGGAAAAAAAAATTAATCCAAAAATATAATAATGATAAAAATATTATAAAAAAGAGTTCAAAAATATATTATAATATTTTTTCAGTTTTAGTTTAATTATATTTTTAATTCTCAAAGTAGAAAAATATATTGTAATTATTTTAATTTAATAAAATATAATTTAAATTTTTAATATTAATGTTAAGAGATTAAATAATAATAAATTTAAGTAATTAAATTTAGCATTTAGAAACTAAAATTATAGTTTTTCTGTTTTAAAAAATTAAAATAAATATTTAAAAATAAAAATAAAAACTAATATTATCTTAAATTTATTAAAAGTATAATTAAATCTTCATTTTCTTATCCAATTTTAGAAAATTTTTAATAAAAATCCAATATATAAAAAAGTTAAAATTTTAAAAAGGTACAACCTTAACTTATATTAACTTATATTAATTGTTTTTTTGAAAAAGCTGACAAAAAAAACTGAGCTTTGAAAAAATAAAGTTAATAATTTTGAAGTTATTTTAATGATAAAATTTCCAAATGTGATTTATGTATTTATTGAGCAAAATTGGAGGTGTGTTGAATATATATTTAAATATATTTCTAATTTATTTAAATATGGTTTATTTTTAGTATTTATAAAATAAATTAATTTTAAATTTTTAACTTTTCTAGCAGTCTATTTTTAATCTTTGTTATTAATTTTGTTAAAAATGAAAAATATTAATTAGTATATTTAAAGTAAAATAAATATTTCAACTAAAGATAAATATATTTTTATAAATAATTTAATTAAATAATATATTTATTATATAATGTATATCAATTATATTTTGATATAAATTTTTTCTCTAATATATCAATTATATGAAAACAACCATGGTTAAGCAATTAATAATAATAAAGCAATAAATTTAAAAACTAGATTAAAAATAAAATTGTAATAATTTGATTGATATTGTAATTTTTTTAATTAATTAAGTTAATGAGGAATTAAAATGTGATAATTTGATGTGTTCAATTTTTTAATATAAATTTTTAAAATATAATTTAATTTCAATTGAAAAATATATTAAAGATATTTGTTATTAAATTTTTCTTAAACAATGTATTGAATAGTTAATATCACTCAAGTCTTAATTTATTATAATTTAAATTTTTAATAAATTTGATTTATTTTTGATGATATTTTTATTTTAGTAATTTAAAATTAAAGTTAATTTTCATTTTGTTAATATTGAGGCCAAAGTTTATTTTTAAAGTATATTTTAAAAAATAAATTACTTTTAAAAAATAAATTGTAAAAAATATACTAAAGTAATTAAAATATATTTATAAAAAAATAAATTTAAATATAATAAAAAAATAATGTTCATTAGCGTACCGATTTCAATTCGGTCGCTATTTTTTAATTAGCGACTCGATTTCAATTCGGTCACTATTTTAATTTGTCAGTCAATCGCTAAATCAGTTGCTAAATAATTTCTTTTATTTTAGAATGGAATAGTCATCGATTTAGTGACCAAAATTTTGTGACGCAAACTATTGGTCGCTATTTCGGTTGCTAAATAAAAAAATGAAACCAAATCATATTTTGGTGGCAAAATCGTTCGCTAAATTGGTCGCTAAATTGCGATCGAATTAAATCGATCGCTAATTGTGACCGAATTAAATCAGTCGTTAATTATGACCAAATTAAATTGATCGTTAAATCAGTCGCTAATTGCAACCGAATTAAATCAATCGTTAAATCGATCGTTAATTGCGACCAAATTAAATTAATCGCTAAATCGGTCATTAATTGCGACCGAATTAAATCAGTTGCTAATTACAACCGAACAAATTCGATCGCTAATTTCGATCGCTAAAAATATTTTTTTTTTTGTAGTGAGAGAGACATTGTGCTTGGCTAAGAGGGCCATCAAAGATCGTGCTTGCAACTTGGTTGTATACCACTTGATCTCGGGCCCTGCTGGTGAGGCCAACTGGGACCTCATGCTTGATGATGACGTGCTCAAGAGTGTTAAAGGGTTATATGGTCACATTCAGAATGTGTCGCGTATGAAAAAGTTACCATAGAGGAACCTTCTCAGACCAGCACTTTTGTGTCAGATATTGCAAATCAACATGATTTCTTTATAGTTGGGAGACGTAATGGGATCAAATCACCTCAGACAGAAGCACTTGAAAGATGGACAGAGTTTTCTGAGTTGGGTGTGATTGGAGATTTGCTTGCTACCTCGGATACCATTACCAATGCTTCAACTTCAATTTTAGTAGTCCAACACCAACAAATGATCAAGTCCTGACCAGACATTTATACATTGTAATCAAAAGGTTGATTGGTAGTTCTTTTCGTAGACAACAATATGATGTAGCTCCAATTTTCTATCAGCAAATCAAATTTTCCGTACATTACTTCTGTTCATACCTTCTCATACTGACTTGTTTTAATAAATGGTTAATATATATGAACTATAGATACAAAATTCCATGGCTGATTTATTTTATAAACAAAATATAATAAATTACTTTTTGAAGTATCTATTGCACATTATTATACATATAATAATAATAACTTTTAACTTAAATGACAATCTAAAACTCATATACATAATTAATGTATGCATTATATATACACAATTTTTAACTTTATTAATAAACTTATTATGATATAAAAATATTATTTTATTAAATTCGATTTAAATGTGAAACTCTAAACCCTAAATCCATATCTTTACAATTCCGTCACCGATCCAATTTTAAAACTATTGATTGAAACATCAAACTTCTCGAATTACTTTTTTTCATTTTACAAAATGCGTGTTTTGATATTAATACCTGAAGGATGCTTTCAAAAAATGTTTGAGGAGTGAATCTTCTTGTTTATAATGGTCGAGATCTTGTTATTATATTCATCATGTTTATTTCTTGGATTATGATTCGGTCCACCCGACCTCCACTACGGAATAATTGTGTAATCCGCAACAATCTCTCCCTTAATAATTGTCCATTAGGAATCAAACTCGTAACCTTGACTCTGATACCAATTATTAGGATCAAACGCTTACCACTAGGTTAAAAACTATAGTCATTAATCAGAGTGTAACTCTTTTTACTTAAGAGTAACAATCTAAGCACCACAATTCGATTATGACTTGGCTCCCTCGGCCTCCGCCATGGAACAATTGGTGTTACCTGCAACATTTATTAGTTGTTTTTGTTCTCTTTGTTTTTCTTTCATTTTGTGTGCACCTTTCTGTTTTGTCAATTTTGATATGGTATCAGTTTTATAACTTCTTCCGTCTCTTGTTTCTCTTCTTCTTTATATTTTGTAGATCATCGTGGCTATTGTTACTAATTCAGACTTTGTGTCTTCAACTCAGTTAGACCCACATGACCCTCTCTTCATTCATCATGCAGATCATCTCAGTCAAAGTCCTGTGTCTATCCCTTTAATAGGTGACAACTTTAGATATTGGTGACATGCTGTTGCTGTCGCCTTTGAATCCAAGATGAAAATGGGCTTCGTTGATAGAATTCTTCCCAAACCCACTAATCCCACAAAACTTTCTTTATGAATAATATATTTAGTTCATCAACCTAATTTTTTAAAATAAAATAGTTTAACTCTAAAATAATTTGTGAGAAGGCCAAATTTTGTTGGACATGTTTTAGGAAAATAAAGTGAAGTTATCAATAAACCTAAGAAAATAATAAATCTTACTCGTTAGTCTTCAAACACATAGTGTTCAGCTTTGTTGTTTTAGTGCCTAGATCTATCATAAAAGTTAATAAAAATTGGTATACAATATATAGAAGAATGAAACAATGAAGACCAAATATTTGAAAAAAAAAAATTAGAGTGGAAATAGTTTTGTATTATCACCACGACTGATGTATATTAAAAAATTATGAGTAATAATTGGATTAAGAATACTAATAATAATAACAATATACAATCTTACAATCAACAAAATACAATGAACAAACATATATATATATATATATATATATATATATATATATATATATATATATATATATATATATATATCAATTCATAGTACAGGATGAAGGAATATATAAGAAAGCAAACATATATAATTTGGCAAATCTTAATAATTAAATAATAATAATATAAACGATTAAAAGAATATAATAAACATGTAAAATGTATATGTCAAACAAATAAATGAATAGTTGAATAAACAAAAACAGTATTAAGATTGACATTCGTGGCTTGATATGTTAGACTCTGGTTGGTAGAGCAAAGTTAAAAGTTGTAACACTTAATTATCTTGGATTTTCTTCATTATTATTTTGTTTGTCCATCATAGAAATGAGAACAAATGAGAGATTCATGTGCCACTCTCTTTCCTCTTCAAACTTCTCTTCAGGATCGCCACTCTTCTTTGGACGACAGATTCATCTCTGACATTCTCAACACTCCTTTTGCTTTTGAGGCTTTGTCCAAAGTCAGTTTTATCTCCTTCCAACCCTTTGTTTGAAGTCATCTTTAATGTTTGCTAGTATGTCAATCGATTTACTTGCATTATTCAAATATCCGTAGACACAACTTTCTCATGTCATTTAGTATTTTTAGAATAATATTAATGGTTTTAGGCACGAGTTACATAACCAAGAAATATGAGGAAACAAACTTATTTAATATGTATCATGATTTATTTTTAGCATTTGAAGAGACAAACAATTTGCAAATAAATATTTGTAATAACTTATTTAAAATTGTAGCAGGAGAAACATTGAGAGATTAAAAGAAAACAGAGTGTTGTCAACTTTTACTTTCTACCTACTTATTGCCAATAAATTGACATCAAAGCTTGTATGTGAGGTGAGCGTGAGGTAACCTACCAAACCTCAAGAGAGAATACCGTGCTATGCGCTGGCTGAGAAAGAGAGATGAGCGACTTAAAGCTTTGTGAGGTGTGTGCAAACACTTGAGAGAAATGACAGGTCTAACCAATGACATCCCGCTACTCAAGTTGACGAAAGACGCCAACTATGACAACTGAAGGTACAAATGAATACCCTTCTTGGCTCCCAAGATAACTGGGATGTGGTCGAGACTGGGTATGAGGAACCGACAAACACATATGGGAATTGAAATGCCCAGCTGAACGCGTTAAAGGTCATTCGAGCTAAAGACAAGGTGACTCTGTATTTGCTATACCGAGTTGTCGACGAATCCAACTTTGAAAATATAACCAATGCAAAATCTTCCAAAGTAGCATGTGATACACTTGAAAAAACAAACAAAGGAGATGAACGGGTGAAGCAAGTTTGACTTCAAGCCCTTAGGGGCGCGCTGGAAAACATAAGAATGAAAGAGTCTGAAAGTGTATCAGAGTTCATTACTCGAGTGGAGATCGTGGTGAACAAGCTGAATCGGAATGGTGAGAGTCTTTCATCAAACAGAATTGTTGAAAAGATTTTGAGGTCATTGATGAATGATTTCGAGAATATCGTGTGTGCAATAGAGGAGTTCAAGGATCTATCAACGCTCACCCTTGAAGAGCTTATTGGGTCCCTGGAAGCACATAAGCAGAGAAGGAAAAATAAGAAGGGGGAGTCCCTTGAACAGACTCTCCAGGCGAAGGCGACAATAAAAGATAAGAAGGTGTTTTATGCTCAGAGTACCAGAGGTCGAGGAAAAGGCAGAGGCCAAGGTGGTAGAGGAAAATGAGGACGAGGAAATAAGCAAGACGGTCAACAAAACTGGCGTGGCCAAGGTCAAACTAAGGGTGACCCGACAAACACAAACAATATTAAATGCTATAAATGTGGGAAGAATGGGCATGTTGCCAAGGATTGTTACTCGGTAAAATGTTACAACTGTGGAAAGAATGGGCATGTTGCCAAGGAATGTTAGTCGGTAAAATGCTATAACTATGGAAAGCCGGGTCATATTTCCAAAGATTGTAGGTCCGAGAAGAAAAAGGAGGAACCAACAAACTTCCTTGCAGAGGAAGAAGATGAAGGGTTGCTGTTGATAACAAACATTCCACTAACTGAGGTTAAACCGGGTTGTTCTAATAACTCAGTTTGGTACTTGGACACCGGCGCAAGTAACCACATGTGTGGTGACGAGTGCTTATTTAAAATACTTTCAAAGGTGGAGTCTGAATCTGTTTCTTTCGATGATGCTTCGAAAGTAGTTATCAAAAGTCGATGAATGATCTGGTATCAATAGAGAAATGGGCGAATCAGAGAGATTAGAGATGTATACTATGTACCTTATCTCAAAAGCAACATACTGAACATGGGACAGTTAATGGAGAAGGGGTACTCGGTTCTGATAAGGACCAAAAACTACAACTTAAGGATAAACTCGAGAGGTTTATTGCTCTGGTAGAAATGAAGAAAAATCGCATGTACAAACTTGAGCTTAAAATAGTTCAAGATAAATGCATGAAACTTGATATGGAGGATGAGGCTATGAAGTGACATTTTTGGTTCGGTCATCTTCACTTCGATAGGTTGACTAAGCTGGTGAAAAAGGAGATGGTGTTCGGATTGCCTAAAATGGAATTCGAAAAGAGGTTCTGTGAAGAATGTGTGATCGGGAAGCAAACAAGGACTTCTTTCCCAAGGAGTTATGAGTGTCGAGCAAAGGAGCAACTCGGACTAATCCATACCAATTTGTGTGGGCCAATAACTCCAGAATCATTCAGTGGTAAGAGATACTTCATCTTTTTCATTGATGATTTCTCGAGGAAGACATGAGTTTATTTTCTGAAGGAGAAGTCAGAAGTGTTTGAAACTTTCAGGAAATTCAAAGTGATGGTGGAGAAAGAAACAAGCAAAGTCATCAAAGCAGTCCGATCTGACAGAGGAGGCGAGTTCACTTCTGTTGAGTTTAACAAATATTGCGAAGAGCATGTGATCAAACATTTCTTGACTGTCCCATATTCTCTACAGCAAAATGGTGTAACGGAACGAAAGAACCGAACCATTCTCGATATGGTTCGATCTATGTTGAAAGGGAAGAATATGCCGAAGAAGTTTTGGGCAGAGGTGGTGCAGTGCGCAGTCTATGTGCAAAATAGATGTCCACATGCAAAGCTAGGTGAGAAGACACCTGAGGAGATCTGGAGTGGTATGAAGTCGAGTGTCTCTCTCTGAAGGTGTTTGGTAGCGTGACCTATGGGCAAGTACCAAGTCAGCACAGGACAAAATTAGAAGATCGGAGCAAGAAATACATATTTATCGGGTATGATGAAAAATCTAAAGCATATAAATTGTTTGATCTTGTCAATAATAAAGCGGTGGTAAGCCGAGATGTTCA